TGGGACAAATAAGACTGACGCACCGTAAGGGGAAGTACTAGGCCGAATCCATCCCTTTTCTGTGAGCTCCTTGAGCTAGCAGCGGAGCTCATCCAACTCCGCAGGAGACATCCTATAGATGCGTCCTCTAGGTACCTTACTACCTAGGACTATTGCATGGACCACCTTCCTTTCTACCACGCCTGTGGGCTCCTAAAAAAGGTCGTAATATGTTGCGACGACTGATTCTAGCTCTGGGGTGTTTTAACGGCCTCCCTTTCTCAAAGACAAAAACTAGATATATGCCCTCCTCGCGATTCTGCTTATAGTAGTTATAGAAATAGGATGCACACATGCAGCCGTAGTTTTCCACTAGACTGCTAGCTTTATAACAGTTCTACCATTTGGCAGTTTGTGTATCAACACCTTCCTATCCCAGTTAAACTAAGGTTGAGCGACCTCGAGGTAGTACATGCCTAGTAGCATATCGAAGGGCAGTTCGTCGCTAACGAGGAATGAGATTTTGTGTCTCACTTCCCCTCCTCCATAAGAGAAGGAACATACTACGTCCTTGACATAGTCTTTAACTAACATTTGGTGCTTGTTGGCTAGCGTAGAAACTACAGTTCTGCTAAGCCACTGCACTTGGTCCCGTAAGCGCAGTCTATCCACACAAGCAGAACTGATGAAACTTAGGACCTCTACTGATCATCGCCCAAGAGTCTCTGGGGTCCTTCCCTGACCACTCAGTCTCTAACTCCTCTAGGGACTCAGACACATCTCTCGAACAAAGCGTTGGTGGGTCTGAATGTGTCTGCGGGGCGATACGTGGGTCACTAGCCCTGGCCAATGCCTGAACTGGAGAAGGCAATGTTACCACTTCAGCGCGAGTAAGAGCGGCTAAAAACTCCTACTGGCCCGAGGTGTTTCCCTGTAAAGTGCTCGCAGAAACACCGCCAGGGTTCGAAGATAGTCCCACCATTGTTGGAGAGGCTACCCTCGTTAGGACTTTCTTGCCTCGGCACGTTCTGGAAGTGTGGCCATAGTTGCCACAGTTCATGCACGTACCTCTAGCAACTCGGTCCTTCCACACCTCATACTCTAAACCAAGTTTCACCCATGCGGGTGTTCCTTGGTCGCCCTAACCTTTGGACCGTACTACCTTCTTCTTCTCGGTCCCTCTAGCCTTTTCCTTGATAGGGGCCACGACTCCCCCATCCGAAGTTTCGCTGGCCCCATCATGCTCTGTCTCATCGTCTAAATCTGGGAACTCATCAATTTCCGTCGCCTGACCATCATGGTCAACGAACATTAACTGACCCTTCTTCTTCCAGTCTTGGGGAAGCTTCTTCCTCCTACCGTCTCTTGGACCCTGATGCGCGAACTCAAGCTTTGCCTCTATATCTAAGGCTTTCTTGCTGAAAGAAGTGAAGTTGTGTTGGTCGACATAGGTCTCATCTACCAGCTTAGTTCTTACCTCTAAAGGCAGACATCTCAGGTAATCCGTAAGGAGTACCTGTTGGTCATAACGCACACCAGGTACCACGAGCAGACGTTCTACGGTATCTGTGATCTCGCGAATATTCTTGTACCTTCTGGCACAAAGATTGTTGATCGCGTCTGTGGCTTTTTGATCCCCTTGAGGGTCATGCCACCTATTATACACGGACCGTACGAAGTCTTCCAATGTCTGGGCCTGGGCCCAGGCATCGAAGTTCTGACCGTAGCGCTGCTGCTGCACTAGGCCATTCAACCAGCGGCCTGCTGACCCCTCTAAAAAGGAGGCAGCCACGACAACTTCTTGCTCCGGCCTGGTGAGCTTGTGCCTCACAAATGTGGGCACAATTCTCACCCGGGTATCCAGGTCCTCATCCTTTTTCCTGTCGCCAGAAAAAGGTTTAGGACTCAACAATGGGATCTTTGGCATCCACTGCATGGGCTGCATTGGCCCAGGGGATTGCTGCAGTGGCTGCATAGCCACTGAGACAGGTTGTTGTGCACTAACCTGAGCTTGTACTGACGATGGGACTGTAGTAACCACCGTCGTCGGTGGTATGGTAGAAACTCTAAGGACCGGACCACTAGTAACTACATAACCACCTAGAGGGGGCATGCCAAACATAGGTGAGAATGAGGGCCCAACCGGTGACGACGTCATTGATGGACCCGCAACAGAAGTGGGAGCTACAACAAACAGAGGCTGCCTCATCACTGGACGAGGAGCCTGTAGTGCAACCAGAATTCGTTTCTGGTCTGACACTAGTTCAGCCAACACCTCCTGCTGAACAACCTGCGTCTCCGCCACACACAGGAGCGAATTTCGCAGGGCATGCATAGCGGGATCAAGTGCGGACTCATCTAGTGCCTCTAGCTTGCCTAGTTTCTGCGATCTACTACCTAGTCTAGCTTTTCTCATTATAGCTCTTCTTCTTCTCTCTACTGCCTCATCCAACTGTCGTTGCAGCTCATCCTGAAGTTCTTCTGCTTGGAGGATCTCATAATCCTCTGGCGTGAGTTGAGCCTGTTGGCTAACTTGCAAGCCAACACTCTGGCTAACGGAAGCCTGAGAACCACTCTGACTGACTCCTGACAAAGTGGCGTGTGAAGAGGCCAGCGACATGGAGGAGGTGGTCATGGTTGCACCTTCACTAGCTATAGTTCTAGACTTGGCGCTGGCCACGACGTCCCTCGCTCTCCTTGTTGCTGCCCTCTCCCTAGCCTCTCTCCATTGTCTCCTCTCGTCTCCTGGACCTAACTGTGGGAAAGTCAAGGGTCGACTGAGAGCAGTTCTACGAGTGATCCTAAGGTCGTCCACTAACAACTCCCTCCCACTAGTGCGTGCACCACTCATGAGCTACAATGTGTGTGATCTAAACTAGAATCCACACTGAATCCTACCTTAGCATGACACACAACCGAGTATGGTACACAACTAATTCCAGTCGGCCTGGACAAAAACAGTTAGGTAGTTTAGTGTTAACTAATGTTAGATCCTATAGGGAATGTTAAATCTATTTTTAGATTACTCTAATACAGATTGCAATGCAGCAAAGAATATACTACTCTATCTGCAGTTGTCTGTCAGTTGTTAGACAAGTCCGTAACAACTAAATAATAAAAAATAAAAATAATGTTCCCTGCAGAGATGTATGCTGAATGGCCAAATATCTAATTAATGCTACTGCGAACAGTTGTCGGAATCCAACCCTTTCCCTGTATCCCTCTTGAGTAATCACTTTGTGTCAACGCCCTGAGCATCGGGTTTAGCAGCGTATCTGAAGGTGTGCAATCCGGCCCACCCCTGTGCCCCAAGTCTACGCCGAACCTGCCAACCCCTGCACCTTATTTATCCTCGCATGCAACGAGCCTTACACCCGGTCTGATCTGGCTGATCAAGAGGCAGTTTTAGGACAGCCCCCACGGTCCTCAGAAATTATTTAACGTCGCAAWCAAGACAACGATCACAGCCAAAGTCAACACCGAGTCCCCGCCATAAATATTTAAAGACGGTCTGATAAGCATCTGTTCAAAGGGTTGGCATGCCCTCCATGACCTCTATTGCGCAGCAGCAGTACCAAGGACTTGTGGCAAAGCATGCGTGTACTAGTCTCAACAGGTTGGCATGGTGACCGTCACCCGAGTGCTTCGTCCAGGGCCCTTCAGAGGCATCACCCGTCTCCCACCAGCTTGCTGCCCAGGAAGAATGTCGACTCTCAAGGTTGAGTGCTTGCGACACCTCAAAATGAGAGGACTCTTAAGACAAGACTCACTTCCTCACAACAATGAAGAGGGTAGATAAGGAAGGAAACAACGTACCTCATAATGCTGGCCTCACCCACAGATTTCTCACTGGCAACCTGACGTGCATTTATGATGATCGGTCTTTGCCTGGGCACAACCAACAAAAGAATGCAGTTCCACCTCGGCTTAAATGCCACATCAGCTAGCTCTCATCATCCAGTGTACACCCCTAATGTCACCACATAGCTTCCTGGCGCACCCACACAACCCTGGGGCGCCTCACATTCCACACCCAAGCCATATCACTGCCCCACACCTCACGCGAAGCACCGGACAGCTATTGCGAAGAACCAATGAGCGCAGTTCGAACCTGCTCTGATACCAAACTGCAAGGAAAATGAGCAATTGCGAGATGACAATAAGCATATTGCACAATCACATTGAAGGCCAAATAGTATCACACTGTCCAGAAAGCAGAAATGCACCAATATAACACCAATGAAGATTCGTAACACTGAAAACCAATGTCAATGAGAGCTTGCTCTCACCACCACCAACATGAGTGTCTGGGCCCTATCTCCCTACTTGGCGCTCGGCGCCCAGCCTACTTCTTACACAGCTACTCTGCCTACTAATTGACAATACAATTGTTGATGTCAACAGCCTCCGAAGTACTTGAAGATGTCGCCCATGCAGACCATCGCCAACACCAGGTATGTGCCGTCACATCATCATCATCATCATCATCCTCATCCTTCTCTTTCTCCCTCGTCTTACTCCCACGTCTTCCCTTTTGTACGCTCGAAGACCACCTCTGCGCCTCCTACCTTCGCAGCCTGGCTGGACTGGCCTGGGCCCAGAACCAAACCTACGGGCTCATCATTTAGATACAAATGCCTCTTCAATCCCAACAAAAAAAAAAAAAAAACCTTAAAAAAAGTGTTTTTCAAGTTTGGCGCCTCGTGGTGCCCTGAACCTATGGGCTCATAATGGCCAGGGGATAGTCAGGAATGAAAATCCTTGCAAGTGGGCTCATTATGGACTGCAACACACTTTCTTTTATTTTTCTGTTTTGAAACATCATGCCGAAATTTACTAGTTGGGGAAAAGCCTATGGGATTTGCTCTCCAACTCTCAAATTTTGCACAGAGCCTCCTCCAATCTTAAAGGCCCAGCCATGGACTCCCGAAATAATGTGCAGGTTTGATACTGACGATGCAAACACGCTGTGGTTTTCGTTTTTTCCCCTTGACGGAATTGCCCACGGACATCTCTGGCAGCTTTACAATTGCATCCCTGGCGATCTTCCAGGTGTGGAGGGAGACAAAAACAGAATCACACAGATTCTTCATAACATCATTGACAATGCAGCAAGATTTTCAACCTCAGGTGAAGACATTGACCCCACCAAAAAAGAAGTGGGGTAGGAGGGGGAGTGTTTTTGGAGGGAATTACCACTATAGCCGACTGTTTTTGGAGTTTAATTTTCTATCGGTTTTGACGAAGAGGATGAAGCAGTTTGTGTCGACGTCAGTCGTGACCATCTTGTCATTTTGGTGTGCTGTTAGTTCCATGGGCAATGCATCATGGTCGTTTGTGGTCACCTTGTTCAGTACTCACTCACATCAAAATCTCCATTTGGTAAAAACGAAGATTTTTTTTTCCCTGAACGAAATCGACTTTTGTCGAAAAGCCCAAAAAAATGTCAAAAATTATGTTACGAGGGCCCAACATCCTGCACTGCATTCTATCCAGATACATCCGACCATTGAGAGGTCTGGCTTACCCTCGGAAAAGAAATTTTAGCATTTTTTTACCTTTTCAATTTCGTTATGAAGCCTCAAATTATCAGAACCAGAATCAAAGTTTTGCTTGACCGTGGAGCAACCAGATCTCTCATAATGGAGTTCAGAAACTCTACTTGGGTCTCAAGGTTACTGACCTTGAGTACCCTTTGGATATTCAGGTAGGTACTTCCCAGTCTGTTACAGCCAAGCATGTCATCAAAGGTGTGTTAGTCACCTTTGATGACAAAAGGGGAATCAGACAGTCCTTGACTTTTACGTTTTCCCTCATTTTTCCCTTGATATGGTCCTAAGTCTGAAGTGGCTAAGGGCCACTAACCCCTCCATTGACTGGGTGTTGCCCAGTGTCCAATAAATTGAAGAACCCCCAGGGGGAGCTAAGACAATGTGTCTTAGTTGTAGAACATCATCCTAAGACAAGTTGTTACTGCTTGAAAACCAAAGAGTTTTATAATTTGTCTAAGGAGTTTGGCCATGAGAATTTGGTTGTGGCTTATGTCACTCAAACAGATTCAAAGTCATCCTCTTCTCAGATTGACTTATCCATTCAGCAAGTGGTTGATGAGTTTGTTGATTTGACTCAATAGCCTAATGGACTTGTCCATAGGCAGACCAAGCACCGCATTCAGATTATGCCTAACTCTACCCCTTTCCGAGGGAAGAGTCTACAGAATGTCATCTGCTGAACTGGATGAGTTAAGGAAACACTTGGAGTCCTTAACTGAGAAAGGGTGGATCAGGCCTAGCTCATCTGAGTATGGGGCGTCAGTTCTCTTTGTTCCAAAGGGAAATAGTGAGTTCATGATGTGCATAGATTATAGAGGTCTGAAAAAAATCACTAGGAAGTAGTGTTGTTACCGTGAATGTGACCGGCTGGTCACTGGACCCGAATTCCGTGAACGACCATTCATGGTCTTGGCGGCCACGTGGTGGCCCGAGATGTCGGGGTCCAAGGGGCAGTGAACACCCCGTTGCATCAAAAGTAAAAAAAAAAAAAAAAAAAAAAACCGTCAACGGGGGTGTAGATGGTTGGGTTAAGAAAAAAATGAATTTGGTGAACACCCAAACCTTTTTTTTTTTAATATTGACCATTGGCAGGTGGTTGATGGTTGTCCTGCCTTTACGCTTACCGTTGGCAAATGGTTGATGATTGTATTTCCTTTATGTTGTCATTCCTTCCTTTATGTTGACAGTCCTTCCTTTATGTTGATCGTTGGCAGGTGGCTGATGCATTATGTCGACCGTTGGGCACTCCTTCCTTTTTATGTTAAAAAAAAAATAAAAAAATCCCACTTTTTTAAAAATTTTATCTTTTTTTAATGATTGTCTGTCATAATGGGAAAAACGAATTTGTTGGATTTCTTTTTAATAAAACAACACAATTTTTGTCATGTTTCTTAAAAAAATAAATAAATAAAAATTCCAAAGTCAATAAAATAAAATAAAAATTCAGGGGGTGCCCATCGACAACACCTACACAACTGTAAAAAAAAAGCMCCCCCCCCAGGCAAAAAAAAAAAAAAAACCTTCCCCGCTATCTGTGAACTATGTGAACTACAACCGGTCACGTTTTCCGTGACCGATGACGGGTCGCCGTTCATAGACCCCGTGAACGGTGACCGGTGGTACGACACTGCGAGGAAGAGCTCAGAGCCCTTGCCTAGGATCAATAATCGATTGGATATGATGCAAGGTTGCAAAGTCTTCAGCAAAATTGATATGAAATCCGGGTATCGTCCGATCGAAATGGTTGAAGAGGATGTGCACAAGACAACCTTTTAGATCCACCAGGGGCATTCCAAACTGAAATGAATAAGATTTTCAGACCCTTCCTTGACCGCTTTGTTGTTGTGTACCTAAATGTCATTCTAGTGTTCAACAAAGATGCCAAGGAACATGCATTCCACCTCAGGAAAGTTTTGCAGGTCCTGAGAGACCATGCGTATAAACTTAACAAGGAGAAATCATTTTTTGGTGTTTCCTCTGTTTTGTACTTAGGTCATGACATTTCTGCAAATGGTCTATCCCTTGATGCCTCTAAAGTGACTGCTATCAGGGAACGACCACAACCACAGACTATGAAGGACATAAGATCTTTCATGGGGTTAGTCTCTTATTACACGAAGTTCATCAGAAAATTTTCCTCTATTGCTACACCCCTAACTAATCTACTAGCCAAATATGTTCCCTTCAAATGGACAACCTTGTCAGTTAGTTTTCTTCAGATTGAAGAAAACACTTACCTAGATATCTGTGTTGAAACTGTCTGATCCTACCTTGCCATTTGTGTTCGCCACAGATGCACGTTTGTATAGAGTTGGTGCAGTGTTTCAACAAGATGATGAGATTGGTTTGAAACCAGTGAACTTTATTGAGTAAAAAAGTAAAGGTGCAGAGAATTTAAGCATCTACCTGTGAAAAGGAACCGTATGCTCTCATGTGTGCCCTCAAACTGTGGAAAGTTTGGGAGACACTTCAAGATCATTCTGATCATCCCACTCTGCACTGGATGAAGACCCAGTTGAGTTAAATGACGAACTGGCAAGGTACATTCCGTTCATTGATGAATTTGACTTTGAAGTGAAGCTCATGAAGGGGTGGTATAACAGGGTTGCTGATGCATTGTCGTATAAACCCGATTCATTTGTTGCCATTGTTGATACTTACTCCTTTGCTGATTCCAGTAGGCACGCCAACTCCGAGTCAGGTTATGCCTTGACTTAAGGCTTGCTGTACACAATCAGTTAGGGGGAAGAGTGTATGTGTATCCCTAATGATCGCAAAATCATTTCTCATCTGATTTCAGAGAGTCATGATGCTCGTGGTCACTTTAAGACATATGCTGCTCTAACCCAACGTTTCTATTGGTCTAAGATGAAGGATGATATCCTGCAGTATTTGGAGACCCGTGAGTTGCGCCAAAGGGACAATGTCCACATGCTGCCTCCTGGGACTACTCAAACCTCTACAGGCTCTACCTATCCCTGATGGTCCAAGTGAGTCGGTGTCCATTGACTTCACAGATTTGGGTAAGACCACCCCACGTGGGATGAAAGGGTAGGTAAAGGAGAGGTCGAGGAAACACAAGAGTCTAAGGTACATAAGTTGAGCATGTCAGCTACAGTCAGACAATATTGGGAGCAAGGGTTTAAGGGAAGCGGGGTTTAGGGTTTACCGATTAAGGAGATAAATCCTCTCTGCGAATCTTTGATCCGCTGATGTATTCAGAAGTTACCTGACAATGTCCAATGTTGTTCCCTGCCCCACACCGAGGAGAGTCGGCTAAGCAAGGAGGAGGTGTAGCTAGTAGATCAAGGTGCATTTCTGGCGGATTGACCTAGGCTGAAGAGGTGCTCCTCCTGCACATCTCAGTCGCTTTGCTACTTTCCAATGCTCTTTCCAATGTAATCAGTATAAGGCACTGCAATGAATCGCAGGTTGGAGTGGGCGGTAAACTAAGTAGCTAGGTTTCTGTAACTTTTCTTAGTTTTGCGGCCTCCGGGGATTGGTCCCGTGACCTATGCCTAATTGGGACTGTTCTGAGTTTGTGTGGAACTTTGATCCCTCTAGGGCTTGATCCCTGGACCTATCCCATACAAGGGTTTTCTTTGTGCTGTAGGTTGTAGGCCTATTGCTTCCTTTTCCTTTTAGCTGCATTTCAGTCTAGGTACAACGAGTCCGTAGGTCTTCCTGTTGAGTCCTCTGTTGTAGCAGTCCGGTAGGCTCTAGTGTTCGGTTGTTTAAATGTCTGGAGGGCAAATTTTGACGGATTCTTTTGTTGCTCTTTTCACGAGGTACTGAGGGGGAGGTCACGCTCCTTCCGTTGCGTTAAGTTTACCTGCGCAGGCATCATCTTCATCATGGTGGTGTGAGCAGCGTTCGGAGCACAGGCCCTGGGCGTTGTAAAGGGGTTTCCTCCTACTGTGTCTGCTGGCGTATGACAGCTGCCATTGAAGCAGCCCGTTCGTGAGTCTTCTTCAGGTGGCACGCATCACCCGTTTCATCATGTTGGTGTTCTTCTTCTTCATCCAGAGAGCTACTCTCCTCTGTTGAGCGGACACTTCATCTGCAGTGGGCATCGTAATTGGACTGCTGAGTGGCCTGTAGGCTTGGGGGCGATTGGTGGACTCGATAGGTTGGGTGCAGGTCTGCGCCATAGCTTGGAGCTCGGGGTTGGAGGAAGAAGAAGTCTCCCTGTTATGATGAAACAGTGTATATGATTGGTTTCTGGGTGTTAATAACGTGGTTGGGATTCTTGGGAACAGTGTGTTGATTGGCTGGGGAGATCAGGGTGTTAATTAGAATTGATAAATTTCAATTCTATGTTTGGTTTTAAAGTGCTTCCCCTGTGTATTCTCTCATCTGGTGTGGTGTGAATTGCTCTCTCCGAGATCTCTCGTCATTGCGCATGTGTATGGGAACGTGTGGATGCCATGCTGTATCTCGTTTCAATCAGGCACATAACAGGACGCTGGACCCATTTTCCAGCAGGTGCACCTCCCCACTAATAGATGGAGGTGGAGAAGACAAGAGAAGAGAAGAGATAGAGATAGAGATAGAGATAGAGATAGAGAAGCGAAGAGA